AACTCAAATGATAATTCAGATGAATGAAAAACGTTCTTTTTTCTGTTTATTTTTCTAACCATTCCTCTGTAATTGACTACTTTTTTTGATTTGACTAACATAAGTAGTTGATATTTGCCAGCATATTAGTAATAATATCTGTAATATATTCCATTGTCAAAAAAGACGATGTTAGATAGTAATCTAGAAAACAAAATAAAATCTGAAATAACTTATTTAAGAAAAGAAATAAATCTGAAAAACAAAAAAGCGAATATCAAGAGTACCGAAGTTTCCAACTCAGATGAATTATTAATTACAAAAAAATCAGACAAAAAAAATAAAAACTAAATATTAGATTCTATATAGATCGTAATGATGTTGAATAAATTGGATCATGAAACCGCTCTGACAGAAAAACTTTTTTTTAATGCCAACGGTAATGAAATAGATTTGCGAAATGTTAACTAATCAAACGTAAAATTTAAATATAGCAATATTACATTGTTATTCAGATTTTGATGACGGTTGAGTCAAATTACGTTATACAAAATACAGAGTGAAAAAAAACGAGAGTTCAATGCTCCGAAGTGCGTCACTTTACTGTATTTCAGAGGACTGAAGCCTCACTTTTTCTCTCTCTCTGACAAAACGTTGTCTATTTTACAAGACGTATTAAGTATTTATTTCTGTTTCATTTTCGAAAATCGGATATACATTAACATTTTATAACTCTAATTAAGACGCTTAACCGCTCGTTCTTATTATGAGGATTCAAGAGAATCTATTTTAGAGTTTTTCATGTAGTACAACATTAATATCTCCTGTTTTGAAACATTCCTCTTGTCTAATATATAATGTTTTATTGTTGCATAATGTCCTTATCAAAAATCATGTATAGCTCTAAAAAAGAAAGCTCAACTGTGAATTGACATAGATTCTACAGCAGTAATAGTATTATAAATATCATTCTTTGTCTTGCTGAAACTGCCATCTGTTGTTCTCCCCCCAATTGTTTGCTTTGAAAAATAAATTTAATTTGATTTCTTTGTATATTGATCATTAATAATAATGATTTATATTTTCTTTCTACAGTGCAAGGTTTGTTTGTCTTTTATTTTTCTATAAAAGCCACACTTCCATCATTTTTCCGATTAAATATGTAAATGGTAAAGGCGTAGATCTTCCGTTCTTTCGCACTCCAACATTCATTGACACAATCAATTAAAATGAAGAATTGTTTTGTTATCACTTGTGACAGTTCGAAAATAAACAAAAATCAATTTTATCTTTTGCTGTAAAAGTTCTGTTTTTTCTTTCTCTTTGTTATTTGTTTATCTATAACATATGAATTAATTTTGCAATCTCATGTATATACAGAATGCTTCATTAATTCTGAATCTCGACAAACTTTCCTAATATACAGACGGGAAATGGTCTGTAGCTAAATATTTCCATATGAAATTTGAGTATTCGTGTCAGATTTTCAAGTAGTAATGTGATCAGGGTTTTGACTAAGATTTTTTTTCTCCTCGGAGTTTAACCTCCTTTTTTATGATCGTTTTGCTGAAATCGATCAGAACAAATTTTAATTAGAAAACCACAACCACTATTTGACTGATATGACATATAAATATGAAATACAAAAACTTTCGTTGAACTAACCCCAAACTGTTGCAATAGAAGATTTCAGGTCTTCTGCTGTGTCCAATTTATTTCTGTGATTTTTTAATTAACATTTTTTTTTTAGAAATCAAACACGATTTTGAAGGTAAGGCAAGATATTTTTATTGCTTTAAAAGTCGAGAAATAAGGTTGTCATCAGTCTTTTTAAGATTTTCACCTCAAAATCCTAAAAACTAGGCATATTTTGAAGTTTCAATTTTAGGAGAAATGAATCAATTGAGATAGGTCTTCTATTGTCCGAGGATGAGTGTATAACATATCTATTCTCCGCTACGTTTTATTCTTTAGATTTATAGTTTCGAAAATCATTAAACGTTATGTTGTTTTTCCAATTCTTGAGTTGGTTTAATTCTTAATGAATTAAAACTAGACATTGTTTTCTTTGTATTATATTTTTTTGTTTAAAAATATCTTGTAAATTGTCAATTGTTGACCATATACATGCGACTTTTGTATTGCCCATCTTGAATTATTACATAATTCATCAATAGTTCGTAATATAATCTTTGTGTCTTTTTTTTTTGTTTCGTATTTATTCTATTCATGTGTTTTGATTCATTTTAAATTATTTGTTGATCATATAGTTTTACATGTCATATAACTAATAGTTCATGATAGTTCTCGAATAGATGATTACGACAACCATTCTATTGGTTTCTACTATCTTGTCATACGAATGTCAAATATATTTGTCGTTTTCTTTTTTGAATCTAAAAATATGATCAATTATATTCTTATGATCATATGTTATTTACCAATTGAAATGTATTCAAATGTCATAGAGATATATTTAGTTAGAAATAATTTTTCTATTTACATGTAGAGAGTTCTCGTTTGCATTTCGAAATTTACAATATACTCGATAATTATGCATATCAATTTTTTTATCTTATCCATGAGAAAAATATTCTTGATGACATAATGTTTTCACCTTTTGACTGTCAGAGATGATAACAACAGTATCACGAGCTATAATTATACTGCTGTCTTTTTTCCAAGTTGAAATATGTAAATGTATTTTATATATCCAATAAGAATTAATATTTTTCATATAAGTATCTCATAATAGAATGTCATGTTAAATGAATTCTTTAGAATATTTCATGAAAGTATCTATTATAAAAAAAGATTAATTGTCCTGAATAGAGAGAACAATACGAATGCGTTGTTGGATTTTTTTGTATTATTAATCTCTATAGAAATGCAACTATTGTATTAAAAGAAACCGATTCAACAATTATATAAATGTAGGTTGATCAGAAAATTTTGGATTCATTTAGGATCATGACTTGTTTTCGGTTATAAAAAATATACAAAGGCTCAAAAATTTAGTTTCTAATCTTTTGAAAATACATGAATATTATCCTAAATTGAATTTTGTATATTTAGTTTAAAGAATATGAGAGATAAATAGATTGATAATCTGGAGAAATTTGTACTTCTATACTAAGTATGAAAAATCAATATTTTTAGTCATAGGTGATAAATACAATGATTAATTTTGATCACAATTACCATTGTAAACAATACAATAGTTTATAATTATTTTCATGTCGTTGCGATCGTTTTTTTTTATTGAATATTGATATTTATTAACTCGACATTGTCATCATCTCATGTTTTAAATAAATCGATTTTGAGTATATCTACAATGCGTGTCATAACGTCATTGGTTCTCTAATGTTTTTTTTTCTTGTATTTTGATAATAGATATTTATTAAATAGGATTAGTAGAACAAGAGATATAAAAGATTATAAGGATAATATGTATCTATTTGCAAGATATCATGTATCCTAGTTTGAGTGTCTTTACATTTGCACTAAACAAGAATTGATAATATTTTACTCAGAAAGCCTATAGCTGTTGAATCATCTTTTACATTAATTCTATTTTTTTTTTCAAATATTTGAAATAAATTGTTTATTTCTCGAATAATAAGAGCGAAGAATTTTTTATTAGTTTTCAATATGATGTGATATAAGATGATAAAAATTAATCTGTTATCCCGATTCCTATGAAATGAAAACATACAATACGATCAATTTGTACATATTGTAAATCAAGGGATTCCTTAAAATATGTTGCAATTTGGAGCTTCGAACATAGTGATATGTCTATGATGAAAGATATTATTCGTAATACGTTTCAATGAGTTTTAAAAGGAAATCCAAGACAAGTATCTTAAATTCAATTTTTTTTTCATCATAATCTCATAGAGAACATTAGTTCCGTGACTAAGTTTGTCACGTCTGTAGGGAGTCAAAATTTCTATCCTTATACTTCAATATTTCTTTCAGATTGAATTTTACAATCGAGCGTTAATCTTAACTAAATGTCGATGATAACAAAAGAATGTTTTATTTATCGACTATGAGAAATGAATACATTATAAAAAAGTCAAAGATTTAGAAAGTAATAATTAAGATAAAATCAGTATCCATAAGAACATACTTTGAAATCACTATGACATATATAAAAGAAACAAAAATACTCATTTATTTATTTGCAAATAAAAAAAAACGAACACTAACGAAAAGATTGGTTTGAAAAAAAAAAAGAAAATTTTAAATCATAAATCAAAGCCTTAGTTATATGATTACATTTCTTTATATTTAAAAGAAGTAATCCTTATATTGATGTATATTTTTTTCGTTTGACTGTCATAAGGGGAGGAGCAATGTATATATGTTCAATCATAAAAATAGTTAGTTACGACACATATGATGATATACGATGGTTCGCAATTTAGATGAGATTTATTTATCATAAATAGAAACCCATAATAGTGATAAAAGGCGTGCACATAGAGATATGATTACATTTTTTTTTGTTTTCTTTTTCTTTTTTGTCTTTACTCTCGTTTATGTTATGCACATTAAAAAAAAAAGCCTTTATTACATGACAGTATGAGTTACAAACAGACGTATTCGTTGTTTACATATATATTGCTAACAGTATCGCAGTGTTTTATCGTTTCCTTTGTTTTTATTTGTTTGTGTATCGTTCGATGATAAAAGATATCTTTTCTTTTTCTCAGCACATTCATTTGACTTTGATCAGTAGGGGGGGGTTTTTTTGACTAATTTGTGAATATAGAAGTTACTTTTTTTTCTCTCTTTTTTTTTTCCTTCTGTATAGCAACGATTAGACGGAAGAGAAATGTGTGCGTTTTGCGAGAAAGAGAAGAAGGCTGGCAAAAGAGAGAAAAATTGTGTTCGAAAGAAAAGAAAGTTCACCAAACAACTAGTGCTTGATCATTTCTTCTTGTTCTTATTCTTATTCCTATTCTAGCCGCAGCTAGAACACATACAAAGACATTAGAGACTAATGAACAATGCTGTTTCCATCTTCGCAACCGTCACATATACCATCATCTACTATTGATTCACAATATGATACAACAACAGGTTATTCATCATCGTCGTATACACGATGGCCACGATCACTTGGTAAAAATTATAATGCTGCTAGGACTAGTAATTCTTCGTCACGTCGACGTCATCAATTTCCAAATGAACCATGTTCAGATATTTTACATTATCAATATGCACGACAACAACAACCAATCTATTCAAGGATCAGTCCACAACGATCATCAATAAATAATATTTTGCCGTAAGTAAGCCTCTTATCTATGTTTCTTAAGCGAACAAATCAATATCCGATACAACACTTATGGATAAGTCAAATGTTTCCATTTTTTTTTGTCATATTACTCTAATACATAACACCCCAACTGTGCATAATCGGAAGAAAAAAAAAACTATCTCACTTTGCGTAAATCTAGATCGATATCTATGAAAGAAAGTCATTAACGCCTTATATCAAAATAACGCAATAATCAAAAAAAGAAACATATTTATTTAAGGGAAAATTCTTCATAAATAATATTATATATTGTATAATATAAATTCTTGCTTAATTAAGATAAGGTTTATTGAAGAATAGTGTTCCTTTTCGTTGTTCTTTTTTTTTTTCTACGATTAATCGCCGTTGTACCATCTTTTTTTTTCTCTCGCGCTTTTTTTTTGCACCAGCTTTTCTTTCTATTCTGTTTATCTCTTGTCTCTTGCCGTAATATTGATAAGGTCATCGCTAGAAGCAAACTAAATACAACACACCAGTCTTCTTATAGTATTCAAATACAACAATCTATTGTTTTCTTCATTTTCGACGACACATTATATATATACATATGAAATCGATAGGGTATGATTTAAATAGTATCTAATTGAACATATAATGTTCGAAGTAATGATTGCAGATACATTTATTATTTCACCTAGGGTTATCAATCTATTTGTTCATTTTCATAGCTCCGTTTTTTTTCGTCGCTCGTTTTTCTTTTCTTTTTTCTTCCTCTAGTCAATCATGAAAGTATTTCTATGTGCATCAAGGTATCTCCTCTTGTAAGGAGTCTTGTCTCTTTCTTTTTTTCTTCATATACTCCTAGCTCTTTTTTTTTTCATCAAAAATGTATGATATAATTAAAAAGAAAATATCACGTCAGGTTTGTTCGTTTGTTCGCACTTTGTTCTATCACCTGCTGGTTCTCTCAACTAGTAACATTTTGCTTTGGCATAATAAAACTTTGAAGGTTCTTTTTTTCTTTTCATTTACATATACATATTTCGATATATGTATAATATGTATACATATTAGAAAATAGGTGATATGACAGTTATTTGTTATCGATTTTCATTTATATATTTTTTTACATCATTCAATGTACAGAACTTTTAAAAATATTAATAATATACATATTATTTACACTCGTCGAATATATAACTATGGTATCTGAAATAATTTCATATCGAGCAAAATTAAAACGTAATAAACAACGTTCATATTCGATTGATGATTTATTAGCCGAGTAAGACATTATATTTTACATTCAAATTGCATGGTCTTTTTACTATCTGTTTATTGTTAAGTTCTCTTTCGTTTTTCTTTTCTATACTATTCTCTATCAGTATGAAATATGATGCATAATTAAAATTGAATATGATGTTAGTCAAGTACAACCTATAGTTTTATCTTTTTTCTTTGTATATACATTAATCTAGTGTTGAGATTTACAAACTATATTCATCCAGATATGTGATGGATTAGTATAGATAAAAAAAAAAAGAAATAATTACAGTTTATAATAAAAAGAACAACGATGACATACACATTGGTTACACTTGAGAGATCATTGTGCGTATGTATATATATATATTAAGAGGAGAAATTCTCTTCAATTTTGGTTCTCTTTCTCCTTCACATTTTCATTTGTGGTTTCACTTTGAAGCGAGAAGAAGAAAAAAGAAAAGACATTGTCCTCACCTTGCTGCCTTGTCAAGTATCAGTTCATATATATTCGTTCGCTTTCATATTTGTTAAGGCAAGTACACATATGAGAAAAGAAGTTTGCAAAAGAAAAATACATAAAGAAAGAACGAAAAGAAAAGAAGATGACGAATGAAACGCGATTTTCTGTTGTTGAAACATAAAATCATCATCTGACCAGTTCATTTCTTCTTCTTCTTCTTCTTCTACTTCGTTTTTTTTCTTTTTCGCCGTTATTCTTTCGCATACTCGTGCATACCATCGATTCAAAGATACTTTGCACCGATTACATGGACAACGATGATGACGACAGAAGCAAAAATTGTACAGGCACACGTTCATATTAAATAACTCTCCCATCTCTTCAATCGGACTATCTTCATTTTCTTCTTCTCTTTTCATACAAAAGAACACATACATAATAATACATCACTATAGTTCATTTTTTACATTTTCGAGTATACCCGAGTTATTATATAAGAAAAGAAATACAAATAATGATTGCCTTACAAAGTTCTGATATTGATTCAATCGGTTTCTCAGATTATTATTCGCAAACATTAACTAGCAGCAGGTAAAAATACATATACCCACTAGGGAAGAAGAGAAAAAAAAAGAACTCAATATATTGTTCAGTGAGTGATTTGCTTCAAGAAAATGAAATTATTATTTTTTTCATAGCATGCAAAATACGTATATATATATGTATATATATATATGTATATATTTAAAAACTGATTTCATCATACGCTCAATTTGAAATGGGCTTGTCATTTGCCTGTATAATTGAAGGTTTCATTAACCATACAAAAAGAAAGAGAGAGAGAGAGAGAGAGAAAAGAAAGGAAGATATTTTCATATTCATATTCTTTCTTTTCTCATATTCATTTCGTGTTCATAGGATGTCAAATGGTGATCCTAATGGAAGTGGACGTCAACGTATGCGCAATTCAAATTGGTCTAGCTTAGGAAGTCTTAATAGTTTTGGAGAATCAACAACAACACCACCATCATCCCAAGAACATACAGGCAGTAGTGGAAGTAATACCAATGCTAGTGGACAACAACGTGAAACATTACATAGTCGTTTTGATTTTAAACAGACATTAGGTAAAGGTACATATGGAAAAGTAAAATTAGCATTAGATAAACGTAAGAATGAACAAGTTGCAATAAAAACAATAAAAAAATCACGTATTGAAAATCCACATGATTTGGCAAGAATTCGACGTGAAATTGATTTTATGACAAGTCTTAATCATCCATATATTATTAAAGTAAAAGAAGGTAAAAAAAAAAATTTTTTTTATTTTTATTTTATTGAATTATTTCTATATAAATAGTTTATGAAAGTCGTGAAAAAATTATTCTTGTTATGGAATATGCAAGTGGTGGAGAATTATATGATTATCTTAATCGTATGAAACGTATACCAGAATCTCAAGCACGAGCTATTTTTCGACAAATAGTTTCAGCTGTTCATTTTCTTCATAAAGTATAGAAAAATATTTTTGATTATAAATAATTTTTCATGTTTAAAACTTATAGAATCAAATTGTTCATAGAGATCTTAAATTAGAAAATATTTTAATTGATCATAATGGTGATATCAAAGTAAATATTAATTATTATTATATAGCAAAGCTACATACATATATATATATACATATATATATATAAAATAACATCATTTTTATTTATTAGTTGGCTGATTTTGGTTTAAGTAATAGTTGGTCATCTCGTCGACTATTGTATGTTGTCGTTTATTGATTTTTATCAATGTATATGATCTTCTAGTTTTTAATCAGACATACCTTCTGTGGATCACCATTATACGCATCACCAGAAATCGTTTCCGGTATTCCATATTACGGTCCTGAAGTATGTATTTCTTTTTCTTTTGTTCTCTTCAAGGTAAAAAAAAAAACCCTATAAATTTTTAAGGTTGATTGTTGGTCATTGGGTGTATTACTCTATACCCTTGTTTTCGGTTCAATGCCTTTTCAAGGTGGTGATTATAATCGACTTGTACGGAATATAACTTCAGGCGATTTTATACAACCACGTGAACAATCAGGTAATCAGAATTATCCTAAAACTTAAGAGATATAAAGCGATAATCTAAGAGAACTTAGCAGATGATTATGTCCACTATAGAAATTTTTCTATTATTAAAAAAAAAAAACTTTTTTAAAAAATCGAAAAAAACCAAATCTATAGGCGCACTCGGTCTTATACGTAAATGTTTAACGGTATCACCATCAAAACGTTTTACTATTGATGATATTGCGACACATTGGTGGGTTAATCTTGGTTATAAATATCCACCTGTTCATTATTATCTTACACCGTCAATGAAACAAAATGGGATGTTTATGCCATCAGATATACCAGCAATAGCATATGATGGATCAGCAATAAAAACTACTCGATCTACTTCAAAAACTGTTAAACCATCAGCACCTGTTTATTTTCAATCATTACCGGTTCAAAATGGTCATAAAACAGATATTCAAATGAAGTCGACACCCATAACCAATGGATATAATTTAATCACACGAACAAATCGATTAAATACTCAAATTGATCAAATTTCAAAAACAAGCCGACGGACATCTAAAGAACGACATAATGGGGATATATCATCTAAACATCCTCCACGTACACAATAATTCAATAGAAATAAATTCATATAAGAATCTCAAATATTTTTGTTTTTGTTTTCGATTTTTTCTTTGTGTCTTTTGTTTTTTTTTTCTTTTTTGTCTTCTTCCATTCATCTATTTCTTTACCAAATCTGAGACTAATCAAATCCTATGCTTGAGCATGCGCGAAACAAAAAAAAACCTTTATTTGGTGATGGATTGCTTATTTTTTAACTTGTTTTTTGTTTTTCTATTTTATTTCATTAATATCATAGGTGCACTTTCACTTATACAACATTGCTTGAAACCCGATGCTAATAATCGTGCTACAACAAAAGATATTCTTCGTCATAAATGGTTAGCACATGGACCTATTCTTTCTATACCATACAATTCAACAACATCATCATCTCTTTCACTTATTGATCAAAAAACATTAAATAATTATGATACAAATCATTTACGATCACCAGCACAACCATTATCACTATTGTCATCACCACCACCACCATCATCATCAACAATAATTGATAATTCCATATCAACAGCAAATTCACTTGTTGAACTTGAACTTCATACAAGTTCATTTTTTGATACAACTCGATTACGTGACAATACATCAATAAATAAAGAACAACAACGA